CTTGCCTGGATGACCATAGTGACCTCCTAACTGGTCTCCCTGTTTTGGCCCTTAATTATTTTTACCCTATTCACAGCACAGCAACCAGAGTAACTATTAAAATATAAAGCAGATCTTGCCACATCTCCAATCAAAATCTTGCAAGGGCTCCACTTCTCACTCTGTCAAAGCCAAAGTACTTATAAGACACTACCTAACCTCCTTCTTACCAACCTCACCTCGTTTTCTAGTTCTCTCACCCTCTCTCCTTTTCCAACCACACTGATTCCCTTGCTATTTCTGGACACTGCCAGGCACACTCTTCCTTAGGACCTTGCACTGTCTGTTCACTCAGCCTGGAACTCTGTGACCTCAAAGGTCCACATGGTCATCTCCCCACCTTTTCATAGGTCTTTACTGTTAAGCCACTTCCTCAGTCAGGCCTACCTTGATGCTTCTTATTGAATTCTTTAATATGATTGCCCCTCAGCTCTCATTCCCCATACTCTTTATCACGCTCTACGCTTTGTTTTCCCAACTACGTATCTGTATACTAGATAATTTGCTTATTTATTTTGTTAATTGTGGATTACCAATTCCCCTCCCCCCACGTAAGCTCCATGAGGGCAACGTTCTTTCATTCTTTGTCTGGCTTTGTTTAATGATGCAGTCCAACAACTATTCTTAGATTATAATAATTTTCAGTGATGGGTAGTAATGAACATAAATAGCCCAAGAATGGGTATAATTGAAGAGCTTATATGACTTTGCTACTCTTGTTAACATCAAACTTAAGTATGTTCCTTTAAAAAGTACTTCCAGATGAATACTAAATGGTTAAAAAAAGCGGGTGTCAAAATTTTGTCAAAGTTGATCAAAAAACTAATAATGCACATGAAGATTATTAAATATAAACTATAAAATTGTATGTTTTTTCCCTGCCTAAATGTGTGTCTACCAAGGTGAACTAATTTGAAGAAAGTACACGTGAAACTTACTGAATAAATAAACTAGAAATCCTGTCAAATAAATTATATTTTCATTGCTTGATGTACATGTGGTAACTCCAATAAATTGCAAGCAAAGTTGTTAGAGAGTTTTGGAGGACTGATTTTTATGAACAAAGTGTTCCAACATTTATTACACTAATGGTATACATGAGGACACTTCAAAATACTTTAAAGTCATTTATTTTCTCTATATATATTAATTTCAAATTCATTACTATCGTGAATCTGTCCCTTCACAAAAGTGGAAAAAAAGCTTACTTCCATGCACAATATCACAAATGTTTAATGTGGGTATTTAATTAATGACGTTTGATGTGTAATTAATGATGTTTGTTTTACTCAATTCATAAAAGAGTAAAACACTGTTTTCAAAGGATAGATTTTACTTTGCACAGTCAAAGGGTTATGGAACCACACTAGAGAGAAACATTGAATAATTCTGTAAAAGAAACCCAGATTCAAATTTCCTGAAAACAAGTGGGGAATGACCAGAGAAACTGTTATAGCCTGTGTTTGTTGTTTAGATAATAGCACATGGGAAGAAAGTTGATCTTCAAAATAACTTTTAATCCTTCTTCTTTTATTCTTTTCTTCCCACAGAGTATATAATTGTTCCTCCAATGTAATTTTTCCAACTGTGTGTCTTTAACTTGTAGTTTGGTGGATAAATAGTTAAATACATGGAGATTGGTTCTAAAAATATAATACAAAAGAGTAATGTAAAAATCAAAAAGGACAGTCATTTAAATGGTATAAACAATTCTACCTAACAATGAACACTACACCAGCCATAAAGCCTGATGGCTTTCTTTAGACTAGCTTCTCTAATTTGAAAATCCTTAGTTACAGAAGCTAAAACTAAGTTATACCCAGGTTAAGGAACTTGTGCAGGGTCACAATGGTGGTTACTTTTGGAGCCAGACTGATACTATGCTGATTGCTCTCTTTTCAAGCTCTTAACTATCTGTGTGCCATACTTTATTAGCTGATCTAGTGTAGAGTAATAGGCGAACACTGAAGGGAGTAGGTATTAAATTTACAGATAGAAAGAAGGAGGGGACAAATATTTTGAAACTTTCCATGTGCCTGACACCACATTAAGTGTTTAGTGAGTTATCTCATTATTTATCTTTATACTCACATTTGGTAAAGCTTTTATGAGACTATAAGTTCTGAGATTTGTTTGGAGCCAGGCAATTGAATGATGAAAAATAAATAAGAGTAATTAAATATTTGGAAAGTAATCCTAATAATAGAAGAAAACATGAAGTCTTATTTGCTTAGAGAAGAGCATGTTAAGGAGAAACTTACTGATAAGAATGTCTAGATATCTAAAAAGGCAAGTTATAAATGTATGTAAGCAGAGTTTTGTTGTTTCCTCAGGCCAAAATAAACAGAAACAAAGCTAAATTACATGGGGGCATCAGTATAGTATTCCCAAGGAGAATCTAGCTCAGAAAAATTAGCAGGATGCTAATGCACTATTAAGCAACCATTATATATCAGGACTAGGGGCAGAGATAGAGATAGAGATAGAGATATTCAAGTTATTTTGGGAAGAAGTTATATCAATTCTCACTCCATTCTGTTCCAGTGTTTTCCTTCGGGAAATAAACATAAATATATAAATATACATGTATATAAATTTAATCCCGCTCCCTATCTGTGAGTTATATGCAACTGTCTCTGTTTTTAAAGAGGAATCTGAAACTCTGAGAGTTTAAGAAGTCTTCTCAATTTCACACAGCAATTAAGTGGAAGTCAAGGGAGGCAGTTTATGGGGGAAAATAGGGCACAGAACTTGCAGTTAGAAGATCTGAGTTCCAGTATGGACTTTGCCACTTTCCATCATTTGGCTCTGAGAAAATTACTTCCTAATACTTTATCTGTAAAATAAAAATAAAAATACGCACAAAAATTGCTGGGAAGATTAAATCAGCGTAGTGTCAGTGGAAGCACTTTGAATTTGAATATAAATACGCTTTAAAGAATCTAGGCCAGGGGCCGGCCCGGTGGCTCACTGGAGAGTGCGCTGCTTGAGAGCGCGCGGCGCTCCCGCCAAGGGTTCGGATCCCATGTGGAGACCGGTTCCCGCTCACTAGCTGAGCGCGGTGTGGGCACAACACCGAGGGTTGCGATCCCATTGCCAGTCAGTAAAAAAGACAAAAAGGGGAAAAAAAAAAAAAAGAATCTAGGGCAGAATGAAGCTCCTTTTTGGCATACAGTTGAAGGCTAATTAAAGGAAATCTACTTGCTCATTTTTAGGTTTTGATCTAAACTTTTAAAAGCTGCTTCTGCCTACATATTTTTATTTGAATACTTCTCATCTGCAAACTCACGCACAGGATATCATTTTTGCTATGTACCATGTGCCTAAAATAGTTCATGCTTTACATTAATTTTGAGAGATTTTAGTTTCCCAGTAAGAAAAGAAATAGTAACTATAACATCATACTTCTCTGAGTAATCACCTATCCAATATTCTCAGGGAGTACTAAAAAGATGAACATTGTGATATCCAAGGATCTGCCAGCTTTTATAAAAATTAGAGCCAACTGAGAATAAAAGTGAACAATAAAAGCTACTTACAATTCCAGAGAAGGACAGGATGGATTTTAGGGCACACAGGGTTTAATATTGTTTGTACCTCTTTATACGTTACTCATTTATCATACCAGAAGTGGAATTATTCTTGTACCTCCCATATTGAAAATCTCTAGAAATTCACAAGCCACATGTAGACCCCATAATTAGATTAATCTGATCACCAATCACTGAAAAAAGTTTCTTAAGTCATAAGTAGCAGAAGAATCTGTTGATTGTAAATAAAGCAGAACGGAGACATTACTGAGCAATTTCAACTGAGCAAGATAATTAAAGTCAGAGATGCTGTTTCCTGCTTCTCTCGTATAAACAACGCAGCTGCTCCACTGGCCTCTCCACAACCTGGATATCCCAAGGCCACATCTTTCTTTTTCCTTCCACGTTCCCTAAGGAGAATTCACTCTGGGTCATAAAGGAATGAGAATCAGTGTAACTTCTTTCCTAAAATGACTTGAGCTTCCTCCGTGTTCGTATCTGTGACATCTTATTATAAGACGAACCAACATCTATTATTAATTGATTCTCTAATTAAAGCCATGCTTGCAGTTTCCATTAGCTTATTCCCTAAATTCTCCAGAGTTGGCTGTCTGGTTTTAATCAAAACCAAATGGTAGTCCAAGTTCCCAGCCTGGAGCAGCTAGGAGGAAGTCATTCAGGGGAGGCACAAGAAAGCAGAAAAGATAAACATATGATAGTTCACAAAATGTGTGTCGGACCAAGGATGCAGATACTGTGAGCTGCTTCAGGGATGTGACTCAGGGACTCTGTCATGCAAGATGGAAACAGTTGCAAGTGTTTAATGTCAGCAAGACTCTAATATGATCAAGATGGAGTCTGTCTTCTGCTTTTCCAGCACCGGATTTGTGTAACTGGAGGATTCTGACCAGAGGTAGTGCTGCATAGCCCATAACACAAACTCCTTCAGTTCTGTGAAGGATTTCTGGAATCGGGGAGATCTTGAAGAAAACATGCTATTTACTGGACTCTTGGGATTTTACTTAACAGATTTTCCCAAGTACAGCATGTAAGGCTGCAGCATTTTAACTATCAGGTCACATTTTTTAAAGGTTTTAAAATTTAGAAGAATTATGGTATTAAAAACTCTAAATTCACTTTGCTCTCTTGACAGATCTTTTGAAATGAGAGCTAGCAAAGGCATTTCGATTAAGCTGCACATATACATTGAATACAGTTGAAAGGTTGTAGGTGGGGAGAAAACTGTTTTTTTCTTTTCTTTTTTTGCTCATAAGCACTGTGGATAAAAAAGGCTCTAGGACTTTATGACTCTCTAGCTAATCACCTCAAGAGCTTTGACAAAACTCCCTTGAGTTCTGTGTAAAATCAGGACGCCCTGAGCGGGGCACGCCCTCCAGCCCCCCCTTCATGCAGCCCTGCTCACATGCACACTCCTCAGCGGCAGGAAATACTTTCCAGGCAATCTGGGCCTGCTGGTGGAGGCCCCTTTCGCAAAACATCAGTCTGCATTGAGTAGACAGAAGTCCCCAGGAACGCCTTGACAGGATCCTGCTCTAGCTAAGGCTCCCTCCAGCTGCCGAGGGTGTTTTTGTTAGAATCACACACTGCGCAGAACTGCTTAGGACAGAGCCATGATCTCAAGCACAAGATGTGAACTTATTTTGGAGAAACTGACCGGTCCGGACTTCACTCCCAGCCTGAGTGCTGAGCGGTGTCATGCCCTGGCGTTTCAGCTCCTCGTTTTCTAGGTAAGACGCTATGGACTGTCTTCATACTTTGAGGTCATCCTGGAAGAGGCAGAAAGATTGAGATAAACGTTAGCCTCTTGCACCGAGTTGGTGACTTTCTAGGTTTTAGAGCTAAGCCATGAAGTCAGACACGGTAAATGTGTAGAAAGTAGAAAACTCTGAGTCAAATCGTTTTAGCAAAATGTCAGTTCTTAAATGGGATCCATATAGATTTTAATCTTTTTCTCCCTAAAGTAAGATTTTATTTTGATTCTTTTTTATTCTTAACTTGTTGATGAATACCTCTGTAAGATCAGTTTCCCTATTGCATGACGTAATATGAAACAAACACATTTTCTCACACCTAAGTGCGAGGTGTAAACGAATTCTTTTCCTTCCACTGCTTTTTGCCAATGGGGAGAGTAGACAGCACCAGAGTGACTTTTTCTTAATAATCAGTCTCCAAAGAATATTTTGTGTCTCATTTAAAACTATGAAGATTGGGTTCTTCATTATTTCCCCAAACTAGTTTCTTCCACTGCTTTTTGCCAATGGGGAGAGTAGACAGCACCAGAGTGACTTTTTCTTAATAATCAGTCTCCAAAGAACATTTTGTGTCTCATTTAAAACTATGAAGATTGGGTTCTTCATTATTTCCCCAAACTAGTTTCAAATACATGTCAAACTGCTCATGAACAGCTTACAAGTTTTATTTAAAAGAAAACAAACACATGAAATTTGAAAAGTTACTTCTGACTAGTATTTAATCTGAGCTTCAGAAATTTAAATATTATACTTGGATTTAGTTTATATTAATTTTTCTGGATTCACTGCTCAAGTCATATTTTGCATGAATATTTTGAATAATTGAAGTAAATATCATTGACACTCATTATTACTGCTTTAAAGCAGCTAGAAATTACTGCAGTCATATGAAAACTGGTCATATTTCCTTACTTCATGTAATCATAAGATTATGTTTCCACTGGACTGTTGTCTCTTTAATGTATCTTAAATGTCTAAATGTGCAACATATAAGGAAAGAGGTTTTGTAATGATTGAAATAGCGCAGACTTATAATGCATAGAGTATTGTTATATATCTGAATATTTTGAGTAAAAATTATTTTGTAGACATAGTATGGAATAGTACGCAAAGGGAACAAATATTCACGTATATTTCCAAATCTATTAGATGAACACAAAGTATACTAAGGGAAATATGGCAGACTTATAATGCATAGAGTATTGTTATATATCTGAATATTTTGAGTAAAAATTATTTTATAGACATAGTATGGAATAGTACGCAAAGGGAGCAAATATTCACGTATATTTCCAAATCTATTAGATGAACACAAAGTATACTAAGGGAAATATGGAGAGCTGTTTTGACTGTTGGATCATAAAAAAATCAAGTAGGTATTTTAAGTGACACTGTCTTGAGCTTGCCAACAAGGAAGCTGAGGAATGGCATTCAAAAGTGACCTGTCCAAGGTCATAGCAGTAGCTAGTAGAAGAAATGACAGCAAAACCACAGTACCCTAATTTATAATTCTGACATCTTTATGCTACATAATCTTACTCTCAAATAATAATTATGCATAATGAAGTATGAACATATTCAGTAAAAGGCTCCTTTGCAGATAGAAAATTGGAGTTCCTCTTTAAAAAAAAAAAAAAAAAAAAAAAGGTCTAGACCTGCCATCAATCTTACTTGTGTGGGGAATCATGATTTAAAAAAAAAAAATCAAATTTACTAAATAATACTATTTTCTCAAATGTAAAAGTTTAGCTAAAAAGATTTAATATGCCTTCAAAAAGCACTTTAAAGGAATAACTTGTTTTATGACTATTTTGTTATATTTCATGTTTATGCCAAGAAAATCAGTCCACATGCTAATGATTATATTAATTTTAAACTGGTGTCTTTTAAAAAAAATAGGGCTGGAGTGTCAACCCGTGGCTCATTTGGGAGAGTGCAGTGCTGATAACACCAAGGCCACGGGTTCGGATCCCTATATAGGAATGGCCGGTTAGCTCACTTGGGAGAGCGTGGTGCTGACAACACCAAGTCAAGGATTAAGATCCCCTTACAGGTCATCTTTAAACCAAAAAAAAAAAAAAAAAAAAAAGGGCTGGAAAAGAGCTTGTCTAATTCATATCCTCATTTTCAAATAGAATCATAATAGAACTATCCTAACCAGTGACTTTCAGAGGCAGTCTTACAATCTCCACCCACCCCCAATGGAATCAGTTTAAGAATCTCATGTATCCAGATGTTCTTTTATCTAACCTAAATCTCTATTGCTGCAGCCTATTTCCAGTTCTATGCATGTTTTCTTCTGTGGAAATATAAAAAGCCTAAAAGGACATATAAAAACATAACTGGACATTTCTAGACCAAATAAGCCCAGTTCATTTCATCTTCACTTCCACAGTTTATTTTTCAGTCTTTAATTGAGTTGTGCATCTACTCTGTTCCTTCTACAAAGTCCTTTAGTTGTAGAATATGTAACTTTTTACAGCATATAAATAAATGTTTGACCAGCACAGTATTAAATGGGAGAGTTGGCTGTTTCATCTGTCATACTTCATATATGACAAAACATGCTGTTGTGGACATTAAAACACTGTACTTTCCAAGGCAAGAGCCCTTCTCATAGAACTAACATATTCCATTTCTAATAGATGCCATTTCTTTAGAGAGAATGTGTGTCATGATGCTTTTTTTTCCCCATTTTCATGAACAAGATTGAGTTTCCTGATATTACCACTTTAAAAGATGCACTATTCAATATTTCTTTTCACAAAGTTTAAAATGACAAATGACCTATATAGGTTAGAGATTTTATTACCAAAATAGAAAAATGTCAAGAATTATACATGAGAATTTGAAAAGAATGAGGGAACAGTAAAAACCTCCAGATTTGAGGGAAGTGGCATGAATATTGTGTCAGTTTCCCCCACACGAGTGATAGGTCCCTTCCATGAACAATTCAGACCAAACAGGTTTACAAAGAAGCATGATTCTTGATTGACTTTGGTGTAGTATAGAAATGCGACGTTTATTTCTATAGTTCTGTTTTGGCATTAAACTGCTAGTAAGTTATAGAGTTTAAAGAAATACACGAGTTTAGTGGTTAAGGAAGTTTTACAGAATAAAGATGAAGGATAGACCTTGAGATCTAGTTAAAAAAGAGATTAGTTTTGATTCAGCAAATTATAGAGTATCTACCTGAATCTGAAAATATTAAACAGGAACTTATGCAAAAAAGCTGAAAGGCAATATAAACAGTGTGCTTATGAACTTGCTCATTAATTGAGATAGAATGGTAGAAAAGACACATAGCTGGTTGCATCTGTGAAAAAAATTGTTTTTTATTAATTAAAATAACAAAGTGTTTCAGCAATATATCAAATAATTCAAAGAGAAAATCAGTCCTATTAGTGGAAATGAGATAGAAAGGAAGCAGGAAGATCAAAGAGCAAGTTTAGAAATTCAATTATACTATTTTTTATTCTCAGCAATTAGGAAAATACCTAGCATTCAGGAATTGTCAATACCTGTTTGTCTATAAATGTTCCTGGAATGAATGGGAGGGAAAAAGAAGAGAAAGGAGACCCAAGGTTGAAGAGTGGTAAAATGTGGGAGTTGGACTTTTTTCTATTTTTGCAGACAGACATCCTGTAATAATAGAATAATAATTTTTAAAGAGGAAGGAAAATAAGAGGTTGGCCAGTTATCAGAGCCTGAGGCCAGAGGTTAACAACACTCTCATAAGGTGTCATTGCATGTTCATTAAGAACCAGAAGGAAGCAGAAGCATCCAGAAATAGTTTGAATATAAAAATTAAAAGAGGCCAGTGAGAACAGAGCAATAGCAATTTCTGTGTGATTGCTCTGTGATGAAAAGCTTGCCCTGTAACTACTTTGAGTTTCTGTTTTTTATTAGCTGAAGTACAGGAGATAGTAAACGTATTTATTGCACCAGGTCATGTTGAGCAACCGGGTATATTTTGGATGTGCAAATTGTTTTGCATGCAGAACAACAAACTAGTCTTTTTTTAAAAAGCATAGGCCAATTAATGAAGAAGAGATAAAGAAACTTTGTCTTTCACATCTTGGTCTTAATCACTCACCTATGTTGGAACATATTAGACAAATAAGGGATAGTTTCAGCTCATACTCAGCCATGGATTCAGCAGCTAAGATCAGTCAAAAGTAAAGGAGTCATCATCATTATATCATCATCATCATCATCATGTCACTTAGCATCTAACGAGTAGTTGCAATGTACCATGGACTAAGTACCTTACATATACAAGAATACTTCAAAAAGTTCGTGGAGAGATTTGTACTATCTTTTAATTCTATTTTCTCACTAACTTTTTGAAGTACCCTCATATTATTAGCTCATTACTATTTTGTATAACTCATTATTATTATTTTCCCCTCACTCTTTTTTTTATTGTTCCCATGATAGAAGTGAGAAAATTGAGGCACATAGAAGTTAGGTGATTACCCCAAATGACCAGGAAAAAAAAAGAAAAAGGTTAATAGACACCTTGTCTTTGCCAAAATAGAAGATGATTATCCCTGCCCACAAATAGCTGTTTGACATTGAACAAATTTACTTAGTCCTGCCAGAGTTCCTCCCTAAAAAATTAGGGCAGTGATAGTACCTATCTCATAGATTATTTTTGAGTATTAGTACTAAAAAAGCTAGTATAAGTAACACACCAAATACAGTATCTGGCCCCCAATAAATGTTTAATAAGTGAAGGCTTTTTTTACTATTACTATTATCATTGTCATCAAAAGTTTCTAACGCACTTAATATTACTTTGGTATACAGAAAAGCACCTGGTGATAAAAACAAGCTCAAATGTATGATAAAAGAGATCATAGGTATTAAGTACAGAAGGCAAAAGCTGATATCAGAAGCATCAACCCCTGGTAGGATATCGAGCAAATACAGTAGCTAAGTTCCCAGTGATTTCCTGTTCCTGATTTTAGTTA